AATTCTTGAAGAGCAACCACAATTACATCCTTTTTCTAAAAAATTAATTGCCTTTTGATATTCATTAGAACCATTATTGTTACTTTACCCATATGATGGTAAATATTTATGATAGTTATCATTATTATCATCATTATACATGTAATTGGTTATTTTAAGAAAAATCATTTGGAAACCCCAACTAAAATTACACTATACCTATAAATGAAGTGGCTAGAGTAGATAAACTCCGTGAATTTGGATCTGGTGATATTTTGAATAAGCGTGTAAGTTACAAAATTAATGGTGGATTATAGCCACATTGTGATTGCCTTTGGCAATAAATCTGATATGATGAATTTATTGGTTTTCTTGTGTGGGTGACGAGAATACATATTCTACAAATTGATCTTTGACGTCTGGTTGGAAATTTACTTATTCTTGTCATCCCACACCAATGCCGAAGGGATGATACATATGGTGGTATATAAACGGTGAATGAACCTCGTCTTTGCGGTTTCCATACTTTAAAGGGCGTGGGCAGTGGCTGTTTATATACACTTAACATCATACGTGGATTCTACTAAGGTTATATTTCCCTAGCTAGCTTGCTTTTCTTGAAAATTATATGAAAAAAGAAAGAAAAAAACACTCGGCTGGAGCAGCAGGAGGAGAATGATAATTTCGAAATTGATTTGGAAGACACACGATTTGTTGCTTTACACGACTCATATCACTTTGCCATAGATCCTACTAGCCCTCAGTATCCTTTATCTTTATTCACGTGATACATAAACTCATGCATTTATTCATCTTATTTCCTTAATATATATATTTATATAGTTTTAAAAAGACTAAAAACATGAGAAAATTGATGGAAGAGCGTCAAAAACGTCAATCTGAATTTAATGATAATGATATAAATTCTAAGGTATACGATATATAAATATAAATATGCATTAATATAATTTATTTGCTTAATTAATTTTTGAATTCATTCATTTGATCTTTAGCAAAATTCAACTGGGAATTTTCCTTCTTCTTCGTCAACGGGACCATTTAAAGATCCAAGTTTATCTTTATTAGTGAGCTCTGTAAATATTCGAGAATTATTACTATTTTATTATTATTATTGTTATTATTGTTATTATTCTATCAAAATATATTAATCCTTTGAATATAATTTTAGGTTAAGCGAAAAAATTTAATGGCAAAAGAAAATGGTCAAAATAAGAAGTCAAAGTTTTCAAAATAATTTTATAATTTTGTAATTAATTAAATATTTATTTATTGGGGGGAGCAAATAATAATAAATTTCAAAAATAACAACACTAATTAAATTAAGTGCGTTAAAAAAAAGAAAATCACCAAGGAAAAAAGTTATTTGAGTCACCACTTCCCTTGATTTAGTTGTTTAAAAATTAATTTGTTTATTAATTGATTTAGATTTTTTACCTTATTAATAGATCCGCGTCAGAGTGAGGTAATACTCATCAATGGTTTTGAGTCAAGTGTTTTCCTCCCATGAAGTTGCTCTGGTGATTTTATCCTTAATATTTAATATGTTTTCTCTTGGTTGAATCAAAACATTATTTATTTTTTAACCCTTGAATGCGAATCTTTGTTCACACTATTGTAATCATGTCTATTATAATATTCGTGACGATTATGCAATGCATTTGATGGTTCATAATTGCATCGCCCAAGTAATAATATTAAGAATGAAACTTTCAAGGAACTAATTTTTGAAAAAGCCCGAAAATTTGGCGGAGTTGGAAAATAAGTCCTTGATATTTTTATTGAACCTCTTTTCCATGTACAGAATTAATAAAAAATTTCCTTTTACCAATGTACCTATGTTGATTTTTACCTTTGACATTTCTTATTATTATAAATATTTAATGTTAACAAAACAAATACACAGTCATTATGGTATATATTGGAAATTAGTAGTTTAGGCTCGTTTGTTTGATAAAGCTGTTATAATAAATACTGCCTGCCTAATACCTGCATTAAGTTTTCTTCTTATGGATTATTGATTTTGAATCTTTGGTTTGTTAACACATTATAAAACAACTGAGCAAGACTTGGCCTTTTCATTTGCTAGAATGGTTACTGAAGTCTGCAAGTTACCTGGGGGAAAAGGAGTTGTTGCTCTCACCTTTAAAAAAACTTCTATCAGCAAAGAGAAAATCCTAGAAAGAAAAATGATAAAAGAAATTCAGAAAGAGTCAATAAGGAAAAAGGACAATAATATGGATAATGATATTTCGTGCCAGAAAGTGACACTAGGTAATAGGAATAGTGAGGCATTGGATAATGCAATTGAATATTTAGAAATTAAGGTTCAAAACGAGGATTAGAATTGTAAAGAGCTACTCGTCATAAAAAGTCACAAATCCAAAGGCTGCTGCAAACACAATGCAATTGGAGATTTTTTGAAAAACAAAATGATCATTCGTTGATAAATAATGATAGCGTAAGTAGTGATATAAATGAAAACATTATTCAGGCTCGCGAACTTGACGTGAATTACAAAAAAGAAATGTAAAAGAGGATTTAGTTCATTTGAATTCAATTGTTTGTTAATGATAAAAACTTGTCAAACGATATTTATATTATATTAATTAGTCAACGCCTTGATATTTGATAAGCAGGAGAAAAATAACGGAAAGAAGTTTGCTTCAATAGTTTAGGAGGTGGAAACAATCGTTCTTGTCTAATTGTCAAAGTAACCTCTTAAACTGATTCAATTTTAATTTCTACTCAAGAAAAACATCCAAAAATTAAGCAAGTCACTTCTTAGGAAAAACTGTTACGTTGACATTAAATTCTGTTTCTCTTGAAAAAAATCGTAAATTTCCTCACAAGCATTGGATATTTACGGGCTTCATATGCAGTCAAAAAAGACATAAATCTCTGAAAAAAATTCCCAAGTGTTATTGATGATAATGCCGTAATATGTACATACATACAAAATAATGTTTGAGGAATAGAAATTTTTGCATTCTAAAAAAAAATACATTTAATAATAGTATTATTGTTAATCTGCATCACTCTCATTTTTATCAACATCCTCTTCCTCAGAATCTGAAACTTCCATATCGTCCAATTCACCTAAAGCATCCTTATGACCAATTTCCTCCAAGGCATTTTTTATTTCCTCAATTGAAGAATCATCTGGATAAACTTTGTTACCATTAAGTTCCAACGAAGCTAATTTCTTAAGATGTGTAGAAATTGCAGAAGCTAAGATAGAAATTCCATGTTTGTCAATTTCATTATATTGAAGATTTAAAGTTTCCAAATTTTTATTATTGCCGAGTAAAAGTTTTTTTGCAATAATAATACCGCCTTCTTGCGACAATAAACAATCCCCAATGTTTAGACTTTTTAGATTTTTCCATTCAGTCAATGAATCAGCAAATGACTCAGAGCCTGTTTTGGTAAATGTATTATCTTGAAGATCTATAATTTCTAGATTTTTACATTCTGCCAAGCCTTTTGAAAGGGCGATGATACCTTCGGATCGAATACCATTTTGTGGTAATCGAATCTCAACCAAAGTATTATGTGCTGCAATCGCATCAGAAAGTGCTTGACTTGACCCGTTTTCAAGTCTATTACGACCTGCAACGAATACTTTAAGCGAAGATTCTCGATCTTCTTCATGATTCTTTTTTGCTGCCTCAAGCAACTGTTTGTCAATTTCATTATATTGAAGATTTAAAGTTTCCAAATTTTTATTATTGCCGAGTAAAAGTTTTTTTGCAATAATAATACCGCCTTCTTGCGACAATAAACAATCCCCAATGTTTAGACTTTTTAGATTTTTCCATTCAGTCAATGAATCAGCAAATGACTCAGAGCCTGTTTTGGTAAATGTATTATCTTGAAGATCTATAATTTCTAGATTTTTACATTCTGCCAAGCCTTTTGAAAGGGCGATGATACCTTCGGATCGAATACCATTTTGTGGTAATCGAATCTCAACCAAAGTATTATGTGCTGCAATCGCATCAGAAAGTGCTTGACTTGACCCGTTTTCAAGTCTATTACGACCTGCAACGAATACTTTAAGCGAAGATTCTCGATCTTCTTCATGATTCTTTTTTGCTGCCTCAAGCAACGCTTTACCAATCAGTTTTCCACCTTGAACTCCAAGTCCATTATTATTTAACTTTAGTACTTGAAGTGTTCGATTATTAGTAAGAAAATCGGTCATAGGTTCTGCACCAGCTGGCCCAAATGCATTGTCACTGAAGTTAAGTTCTACTATTTCTTTATCTTCCAATGCATCACAAAGAGCTTTCACAGAGTCTGGAATTTCTTCTTTTAGCCTACCTGTAAATATATCAGATGCATTAACTATCTGAAATTTAAAATGCACAATATATACATATTTTGAATTGTTGTTATTGTTAGGATACACAAGTAAGAAAAATGCTTTTTATCAAAGAAAATAAATAAATAAATATTTCATAACATTATAAAGATACCTTTATTGTATTTTTCCCTTTTAGTGCACTGGCCAATGCTTGAATTGCTTCAACTCCAAAAGTATTTCCGCTCAATATCACATTTTCCAAATTTTCCATTTCCATTATAGAATCTATGTATTCTTGAACATCTTCAGCGGTATTTAATTTTAAACCTTTACCTTCTATGCTAAAGGTTTTGTTTTCTGACTTTTCATCAAGCATTTTCTTACTTTTAAAGAAAAAATTAAGCATAGATGTAAATCTATTTTTTGTTTGATGAATGATAATGATAAATAATAAATATAATAAAATGAATATATAAAAATTTTAGCCAATCAACAACAATTCTTAAAAGTTTAATTCAAAAAAAAATGATAAATACACAAATAGCATAGTGGACTTTCGATTCGTGTAACGTGACTATTGAAAATTTTTGCCGATCACAATTCATAATAGATACAGTAAAATGGGGCATGCTGCAACAAAACCAGACAAAGTGAACATTGGTATTATCAAGAATTCAGGGATCAATGGTGTTTGTTTAATATCACAATTTTAATTTGTCTAGACAAAAATAGTTAATATGTAACTCGTTTACATCAGATCTACCATGGAACCCAAGAATTATAGCACCATTAGAAGTATTTTGAAGAAAGAACAAGGTGAAAAAATTGCACCTTACATTTTCAAAATAAATGATACTCAGACACTGGAAGCTTATCTAAGAAAAGAAAGGATTACTTATGAAATTTATCAAGAAGAAAGGAAAATAATAAACATTAAGAAATGAAAGCAGAATGAATAAATGTCACATTTTAATTGATCATTATCTTCATTATCTTGGATATAAAAAAAAACTTTTTTTGGTTTTTTTTTTTCTAAAATATGGATTTATCTAATATATAAGGTCTAAGATGAACCATGCATGATTTTTTCTTTTTTCTTTTTTTAATAATATTATATTATTAACAAATAATAATATTTTTTTTATAATAATGACCTCAGTCTTGATTATATTTTTGTTTCAAAACAATCACCCTACAAAAAGTTTAGATACTGAAAATGACCTTAAAACATGAATCAGTGAAATGATCTTATGCAAAAATCTCCACCACATCCCCGTCACATGATAAATTTTTTAATAAAATTAAAAATTGAAAAATTTTTTTTAATTTTTTTTTGCAATGTGTTTTTGAAAAAGAATTACTCATGATATCTGTTATTTTTTTTAAAAAAGTTTTGGAGATTCGAAATTTTAAAAGAGTTTCGGGATTTAAAAACAAATTCAGAGTTTCAAAATAGTTGTTTAAAGTTTAAAAACAGTGTCGGAGTTTTAAATTTTCGAAAATAATTCAGAGTTTTGAAATAGTTTGAAGTTTTAAAACAATGCTTCTGTTCGTATCATTATAATTCTAACTAGTTTGTTTCATTCATTAATTTATTATTATAATGATCTAATAAACAATCAATTCATAAATATTGAGAAAAAAACTTTTTTATTTATTTGTTTATCAATCATGAATAGTAATAGTAATAGAGTTGGAATAAATTTATTCGAATAATTAAAAAAGTTGCACGAACGCAAAAAAATTTTTACATCACTCATCTTTACATCCCTAAGAGTAAACACCTTTTTTTTCGATATTCTTGAAAAAAAATACATGAATATGTTCTTTGACATTAGTTTCATAACGCAAAATAAAAAAAAATCATTTTAAAGTACAAAAGTATAGTACCATTTTTTTATACAAAGTCGTCAATTAGCAAAATTTGTGACATTTTTCCTCCGCAGATCCTTATATAGTAATAGAGTTCACCGATTCATAGACGGATCGTCAATTAAAATTTACTTAAAATGTTCTTGTTTTCTTCCATCAGTATATTTTCAGTATCTAAACTTTTTGTAGGGTCAAAGGTAGTCGGACTACATTGAGGATGGTGAGTTCAAGCAAATTATATTCAAATGATTCGTGAGCCGGATTTGTTGGTATTAACTTTTGATGCCAAAACAAGATTCCAAACCACAGGAAAGTTTGTGGTGGAAGATGGCAAGGAACATGTATGTATGTTGATGAGATTCATAACTTCCTTCAATGAACCCTATTAAGATGTTAACTAGAAATTTTGTCATGACAAATAGCTCAATCTCGTCCAAAACCACAACAATAGAAGAAGACATCACCATCTATCAGCTCTCACCATCACCTAAGGTTGTGGGCGAAACCTCCTTAGTAATTGCTGAAACCATGGCAAAACTATATTAAATCTTATCAAAAATCCTGTTGAAACTATGCCGAAAGGCGAAACCTCAAAATGCGAAACTCTGCCAAAACTCTAATAAACAATTAATGTGTAACCTGCCGAAACCCTGCTGATTGATTTCTGGATGAGTTTTGGCAAGCAACCTTACCATCACCTCTCCTCCTAATAAGCAGCCCTTATGAAAACAATTCTTTGAATATCTTCAAGGACTTCTCCTATGGAAACTTCTTGTCAACCAGGACTTCCCAGTCACCAGCAACAAAATCTTTAAATTCAAGTTGTTGGTGTCCTATTTGAGCTCATCCTCAAGGTAAAGTTCACCATTTTTTAAAAAAACTCCAAATCAAAACATAATTTGTAGATTTGGCATTAATAAAAATAATTAAATAATAATAAGTTTTTTGCTCAATGAATAAATGCAATAATAATATGAATGACTAATTTTGATAAGAGATTATTGAATCATGTGTTTTTAAATTTTGTTCAAATATAAATTTTTTTTGTTATAAGAAGATCCTATCTATATAGTTATTTTTATATTTTATTTTAAATGCATATCCTATTTTTAAAGTTCTAAATATTGTCTGAGATAATATTTACAAGAACTATCATCCTTAAATTCTATGAGAGATGAATTATTCTTTGATAAATATAATTTGATGTTTTCAAATGATGTGAGATCTCTTATAAATTTTATCAAATAATTAAAATAACCATGAGAAAATTGAACAGAAATTGGATTTGTAACATTAAATTTAATATGCTACATAATGAATAAGACATTTATACACGTTAATAAATATTATAAAAGAATATTTTAAAAAATAAATTATTTTAAAAATAATTACTTTATGCATGACACAAACTGAATTCAATTTAATGCTACCATTAACCAACTCACTTTCTGCAATAAATTTAAGTTCATTGTTATTGATTTCGATTTTAACTTTTATTAAAAAAATTATCTTTATTAATTAATTAATAATATTAGTAATATATTATCAGCTACAAAAACAAAATTACCATTTCCACCAATAGCTCGTATGTCATGACAACTTTTCTGGAATATGAATAAAGGTAATGACACAACAGCATCATAACCTTTTGTTATATAATGATGTTGATACTGCTCTTTGTATGTTTTGAAAACTTTTGTTTCAAGGAATTCACTTAAAAATAAAATTTTCCATACTATATCATTATTAATTAAAATTGCCCATGTTTTTGATAATATGCTCAAGTTGATAATATCGCAAAGATCAAGGTACTCAATTATTAAGAAAATTATCTCATCAGGCAATTTTGTTAAGTTGTCATCATTATTATCATAACTACACTTCCTAGACAAAAGTATTTGATCACATGTTTACACTAATTAGTAAAAAACCTATATAACAACTAGAGTGACAACAAGTGGCAATAACCACCATTCTTTTAAATAAACACTTACCCTACTGTGGAACCAAATTTATCTTCTTTTATTCTTTTTGACGAATTTTTTTAGTCTAAAAGACATAATTTTACGCGTTTAAAAAAAAGTAAATAAAAATGCAACATATTACAGTCAAGTATTTTACCAAATTTGGAAATACTAAATGCCGTAATGATCGATGGTATGAAAAATTCTAGAAGAAATTCTGATTGGCTAAATTCAATCAGGGATAATACCCTGTAATGATCGATGCTATGAAAGTAAATTCTAA